ATATATATATATATATATATATATATATATAATTTTATATTATATTTTATTATATATTAGTTATACAAGTTCATCTGATTGGATTTGAACCATTTAGTTTTATTTTAAATATATATATATTATTTTTGTTGTTTTTGTGATAAATTTAAGTTAAAATACATCATACTAACAGCAGAAGAACGCAGGGTTTCATTATAACATCTGGCTGTGAAACACATTTGCTGCTGTGACTCATGTTTGTGAGTTCTTTAGTTAAAACCGCAGCTTCTGCTGACCTGAGGACGTGTGATGTTCAGGAGGTGTTAAAATACAAAAACCAACCACAACAGATTCTCAAGGCACACAGTACTTTACACTCTCAGAAATAAAGACACAAAAGCTGTATTATGTTTTCAAAAGATACTAATATGTGCACCGTTTGGGGTAAATAACGTACAAAGGTGTCCCTTTTAAAAGGGTTCTGTCCCAGTGTACCTTTTTTCCTGAGAGTGTAGAAAACAAAAATTATCTTCAAAATTCATTTAAAAAAATACAGTGGTTAATAATATTTGGTGTTAATGCTATTTTTATCATTTTTCACGGTAAGGATGTGTAATGTAAAAACCCTTGTGAATCAACCCCGTTACCAGACTTCTATAACACACCTGTCTAGTGGCTTTCACAATTGTATGCAACACCAAATATAGCCAACTCTCACCATGATCAAATATAATTAGCTTCAATGGCCTTAAAGGGAAAGTAGAATAAAGTTCTTTTTTTATTCTACTTTCCCTAGATGTTTTGAAGATTGCTGGTAATCAAACAGTTGGTGGTTGCCACTGACTTCCATAGTAGGAAAAAAAATACTATGGAAGTCCATGGCAACCACAAAATGTTTGATTACCAGCAATCTTCAAAATATCTTAGATTGTGTTCAACAGTAGAAAGCAACTCATACGGGTTTGGAACGACATGAGGGTGAGTAAACGATGACAGAACTTTCATTTTGGGGTGAACTATCCCTTTAAGACATATTTGGACACTTCAGTCGCACTTTGAATTAGATGCAAATCATTCCTTGTGAAGAAGAAACACACGTACAAACACAACATTTAAGAAAAAGATTAGACATTGGCACAATCCTCTCCATGCTAAATAAAATTGTAGATGCAAATGTGGTTTTTAAATTTTTTTTAAACTAATTTAAAGAAGAAAAAAAGCACTTCATGCTATTTTTTGGGGCGCCACCGTAAATAGCTTGAGAAAAACGCAATGCCACTGTTGTTGTAAGTGACACTCGACACAACAGCGTGACCTTCAGCGCCGCTGCACGTTTTGACCCTTTCGGCGTGCCATATTGCAAATCAATGATAATGCACGAATTTTCTGTTTTTCTCCCAAAGTTTCCGCTCCGTGCATGCATCTCTCCCCCCGAGCAGCTGATCGTGTGGTGCACGCATGCATTTGAAGGCTGCACACATGCAAGGCCATCATCCGGGTCGCATTCGTGCAGCATACGCCAGAGAGGGCGAGAGAGCCGATCACATCCCGGTAAATCAAAGGTGAACGGGGCGGAGAGCAAAGCAGAGCATGGCGTCCGCGTTCGGCTCCAGGACTCTGAGTAAAGATGATGTGAACTACAGGATGCATTTCCGCATGATCAACGAGCAGCAGGTGGAGGACATCACCATCGACTTCTTCTACAAGCCTCACACCATCACCCTGCTCACGTGCACCGTGCTCAGCCTCATGTACTTCGCCTTCACGCGGTGAGTGACGCACTACGCCAGTGCCTATGGCACAAAGAGCATGTTACTATAGCAGCACGTGATCATACGAGTCGTGTTACTGAAGCTGAATTCTGTGGCTTTTAGCGCGTGTTTGTTGCTCTGGGGTCACCTAGAGCTAAAGTCGACAATGAGGAGTTTTTAGCGCGTTTAAAATATACGATCTTTCACTTCCGGGAAAACGAACAGCAATGCTGATGACGTCACCTTGTACTCGGGGGCGTGCACCACTGATCTCTCTATCTATATATATATGTGTGTTCTCTATAGTCGATGGAAAGACAGTGATACCACTGGTTTCTGAAAGTACACAAGTAGCAAATCATGGTTCTATGTGTAAACAAAAGACTATCGGTTATTTATAACTACATATATATACATTTATGCCATGGTCTGTCTGAATACTCGATTCTGATTGGCTGGCGGGTGTTGATTAAGTTTGTGTAACTGCACAGGTCAGTTTAATCACGTTCTATATTAATGCGCTTACTATAAAAATTGGTAACCATAGTAACATACAGTTACAGTTTAATAGTAATACAGAGTGAGACCGTTACAGTAAACATTTCCGATTTACTTAGCTAGGCTAAATGGACGATTTTCGCTTGTCATTTAGGGGTGTGCGATATATATCGTCTGCGATAATATCGTAATTGTTGTTTTAATGATGTGCGATTTGACATTATCGAGTATTTTGCAAAAATCATTCAAAACATCCCTACAGAGCGCACGCGTACATTACGTGAAGTCTAGACTAGTGCGCGTGCGCATTTAGTGCGTGTTCTTTCACTGCGTGATTCAGGCTATTAAAATGCATTTAGAATGATCACAAATTCAAGACATGATGGCAGAAAATTTAGATATTTATACCACTTCATATAGTTATTCAGTTTCACACGAAGAGTGCCGTTTTTCTCCAAAAATGACCATGATTACAAATGTGATATTGAATTCAGTAAACAATAAGTTAATTAAGAGACTTACGTTTTAGACACCATATTGCTTGTTTTTGCTTTATTTCGCCAACAAAAATCATTCCGAATACAGCCACAGCGCTGTTTTGTGTCTCTGAGCAACATGACGGCGTTTCGTTCCTGAATGAATCACTCGTTTAAATGATTCGCTTCAATCGCAACGACTCGCTTATTAACAGTGCTTTGCTGCCACCTGCTGGCGGTTTTATTTCACATTTCGGCTTTTTTTTCATGTTTTAAATCATTTCAAATATCAGTATTCAACGTTTTATGTTTAATATATCAAAACATTATTTATGC